AGGGTTAGAAGGGACCTCTGGAGATCCTCTAGTCCAACATCCCCTGTCAAGTCAGAGTCACCTGGAGCAGGAGACAGTAACACATTCAGGTGTGTTTGCAGTGTCTCCAGAGAGGGAGATCTCACTGGGCAACCTATAAAAAAATGTGTTTTGCAAGTTACCTTGCAAAGTCTGTGACTTTAGCTCTCAGTCAGGAACATCACATAACTTGTATTAGTGGCCCTGTGGAGCTAAATTTTGAATTGGTTGCAAAGGCTTTTAAGAGGGAAGAGGATGAGCCTGCTGGGGATGCAACACACACTTTAAACAACTATTTAAAAAATTTACTGTCAGAATCAGATGTAGGGCAGAACTCTGAGGCCATATCCTCCAGTAGTCCAATGCAGCCATTGAGACTTTGCAACATCAACACATTTAGGAAAGGCTTGAGGTTTTATTAAACAACAAAAAAAATACATTCTCTGTTGAATTCAGTGTTATGTTTGTTCATCTTCAGTTTTCCATGGACTGCACAGGTGCCTACTGTGACAGCATTACACTTTTTTTGTAGCTCATCAGGATACATATTCTAAAACAACTGGAGAATTAAAGGACATCAGCATTATCTGAGTTCTTGCACTCACCCAAACACGTTAATAATGTGTACTTACTGCCAGAGTTAGATTTCAAAGCTAATATCCTGTCAAAATAAGTGGCAGTTTACAACTCTCATAGTCATCTCTTTTATATTGCAGATACTCTTTGCATATGTTGCCTGGAAGATAAGAAGAGGTCTCAATTTTTTTTAGAATTCAGCTTTTAATCAGCAATTGTTTTCTTCCCAAATAAAATCAGGGTCAGTCCCTAAGATCCAAACACACTGAACTGTCTATTTGTAGGAACTCCTAACAAAGAGAAACAGAGCATTGTCCATGGCATAGCTAATCACCTTATATACACAACTCAAGATCAGCAGTGGCATTTGCAAGTTCTCATTTACAATTTCTCTTAGAAATTGTACACTCATTTCCTCTCATTAAGCAAGAAATGCTTGTTTTCTAGTCAGTAATTGCACCAACATTTTTAAGTGACAATCAGTTGTATAACTGCAGGCAAGCAGTTACTCAGGCTAGTTACTGAAGTGGGAGAGGGAATGGTGATGGCAGAGTCAGCCACAGCCTCTACATATAGCTGTTGGTATTGTACTTCAGAGGTAGAAGGCTCCCTACATAATGTCCTTTGTCAACACATTGCAGATATATTTACATTGGGAGTTTGTCCTGTTCTGTTTTTTTTCCCAAATACTAGTCCCTCAGTAAGCCACAACACCTCTCTAAATGTTGGCTTCTTCTGGTCAGGAGCCCACATGAATGGAAGAAGGCCTGTTGAAAGAACATACTAGGTACAGTCTACACCCACTCTGCCTGTCTGAAGTGAAGTGTGGAACAGTTTTGCTCCATGCACCAAAACCAGTCCTCCAATACTGTCCCCAACAGTCCTATATCTCCCTCATGCATCACACAACCCATGTACACAGGGTTCAAGTCTTCATGCACCCAAAATCACTACCCCACTAGCCCATTGCTTCCGGACCCAGCAGTTAAAGAGGATATTAACATTTTTGCAATGAACCAAGGAGTTGGAAGTTAGTTTATATATTCCAGTGTCTAACTGAAGAGCGTAGCACAGGACAGTCCCTGGCAAAATCTCTGGTTCATGGCAGGGGAGAATCACAGCATGAACTGCAGGAAATGTACAGATGTTCTTAGTGCCATCATCAACTTGTAGATGCAGGGTCAAGTCTTTAATCTCAAATGTGTGAAATACTACCTCCAGTCAACTTGACAAACATTTTTCCAGCACAATTTAGCCTTCAAACTGACAACTCTAGCAGCACAAGTCTTTAAAACCAGGTAGTAGGTAGGGCCTGTTGCTTCTGTTTAAATATTTGCTGAGCTGTTCTTTAAATTGTTGCTACAGGCACTTAGTTTCTCTCCACAGCATTATCAGTTGTTATTAATATTTGTTTCTTCTTGTTTGAATGGTCCACTGTCACAGGGATGCAGCAGCTCTGGTGATGTCACAGCAGACATGGAAGCTCCTCACAGCCATGGGCAAAAGGACATCTGCACCCTTTCAGGCTGGGAGAGCCCCAGGTTGGGGGGGCAGGAGAGGCCTGAGGTGATGGAAAGTGACTGCTTTGGTTATTGTTTCTCACCTCTTATTTCTGCATCACCCTTTATCTCCACACCCCATTAAGGCCCTACAGGCAAATGGAAGTTACCCACATTCAGAGACAAAGGTATGCCTGCCTCCTGCACCTTCTCCATACTCCATCATGGGCCTACAGGCAGATGGAAGTTCAGCACAAAGGGATGTCCACACCTCTCTTCGTGTCCGCCCCATTACTTCTCTACAGGCAGATGGAAGCCCATCACAGTCATGGGCAAAGGCAGCACCGTTACACCAACCATATCTGTACACTATCAACACTACCATCCACCAAGTCTGTACCCCATCGTGTTCCTACAAGCAGCTGGAACCTACTCTACTCATGGCCATGGAGAATCGCACCTCCACACCACCTATGACCTCTATATTCCGCACCGCTGCACCGTGTCATTATCCTACAGGTAGTTGGAAGCTCCACACAGCCATGGATGACAGTAGCCTCTCAACTATGCTCCATTTCTGTACCCCTTCACAGCCACACTGGTAACTAAAGAATCCCCACAGCTGTGAACAGAGTAACCTTTTCACCACCCACCTGAATACATAGAATTCTTCAAAATAAAAGTTCCAATTCATGAACCCATTGTCTAGGTCTTTCAAATTTGTTTGGGTTTGGTTTGGTTTGGGGTTTTTTGTAACCTTTTTGGGTGGATCATTGCTGTCCTTGTTTCCTTTTATTTATACATCTTTAAATGTGTGTGTGTGTATGTATGTGATACACAGGCATATATAAATACACATATATAAAGCGTACCTGTGAATAAACCTGAGAGCTGTACAGAGGAACCTGGGTGATTGCAAGCCACCAGGGCTGGATACTTTAGGGATCACTTGGAGCTGGCTGCACAGGCCAGCAGACAAACCACCTCACATTCCCAGACTGCTCCCACTAAAGTTCTGGCCCCTTTCTTGTGTCAGGAAAAACATTTATGCAGCTGGAGTGAGTCTGATCAATAACAAATCCTTTCCCACTGCCAACCTAGATTCCATGCCCTGAACAACTGAATAAACAGTTCAGACAGGTAGTAAGGGGGAAGTATAGCAATGAGGAAGGATAAGACTATCTACTTTCTGCAATTCTCTCATTATGGTCTGATGTAGAATAAAAAAACATCCATTTCTCAGAACATTTTAAAATCATTAGACCAACTTAATATGTGTAGACTAGCAGTTAAAAAACCACAAAAAGTCCTAGAGCACACAGAATATTTACATTTCTGAATGCAGAAGTATCTAACACATAGAAGTTCCAAATTATACAAATCAAGTCTTAATGCTCATATATCTGGTATCTAAAAGTTAGAGTGTGTAAACATGAACAGCAATCCCCTTTATTGCCTCCATGATGACAAACATCAATACAGCTTATTTGTCAATAGAGACAGTAATGCCATGAAGTATAAATTTCCTAATGGAAATTAGGACATGGGTTTCATATAGTTTATGGACTATTGGACTAACGGACTCCTAATGGACTTCATATAGTCTAATGTCAGAACAAGCACTAAAGTACTGTTTTAGAGCCTCCTCTATATCACAAGGAAATGAAGAACGAGAAGAAAACTGCTAGCTGAGTTGCAATTATAAAAAGTTGAAATATCCACTGATGCATGATGCTTATGTCCACTGCAACACAATTTACCGTGTGTTCACATGATTCCTAAAAGCAGCAAAAATGAAATACTATGGACAAAGGCAGTCCAGGTAACTCAGATGGCATCTAAACTTTCATATGGATTTTTTTTCACTGTGAGTTCAGCTACATTTTATCCACATACATAAAACTGTTACTTGAAAACACCACAAATGATGTTCCTGTTGCTGTCAAAATCAAGAATGAAATTTGGGAAGAGGAATTATCCATTAAGACATATGCTGTAATCAAATATATGGCAGTGGTTTGGCAAAGCAAAGATATTTGAGAATGAACAGCTTTTATAGGTGACTGAAGTGCCTTGCCAGTTTAGAGTTCAGCAATGTACATGTTGCCAACAAGTGTGTGTATTTTAGTTGACACATTAAACCAAACATAACCAAATCTGCGAGAAAATACCATGCTATAAGATTGCTGTAGTAGATTTGGCTTTCTACTCTGAAGCTAGTTTGCTTATCCTGAAATGATATTATTTAACCTGCAAATAAAAATTTGAGCTGCTGTACAGTGTTCTGTACTAAAAATGGATTTATAAAAAAAAATACTTAGTCTCGATTTATTTAAACAATGAGGATAGAGTTTTACAAACTCACTTATATCCAAGTAAGAATATTAAATCTGGAAGTTTCAAACACTGTATGGCTTAATACCTACATCCATCTTCCCCCTTATTCTGTAAGCTTATTTTCACAACTAAACAAGAGAAATTAGGTACTTCTGTGTTTATTATGATTAGTCATGCTTCTTGGCATATGTCATTGTATTTTGCATTTAATAAACAAGCATTTCTGTTGTGAATACCCTAGGAATGGAAACCATTTGTATATAAATTCTGAGATATAAAAGGTGACTAATTATTTTATTTTATATTTGAAAATCTTAAATCTTTCTCTCATGAGTACACAAAACAGAGCCTTTGTAAAGAATGGATTTATCTAATCTTCTCCCTTTGGGTGTGGTAGATCTCTTTTTGTTGATCTGTGATTTTCAAGAACGAGTCTACACTGCAGAAAGCAATGAATTAAAAAAAAATATGACTAAAACTACTGTTGCTATTTCTCACTGCAGTCTCTGTATGGCAACATTTGAGTGGTGCTGGTTACACATATTGATTTATTAAAAAGCAATGTCATACCTGTAGACATGCAGGAGCTCTGCCTTGTGGTTTATTCACATCAACAGCCACAAGCTGCCAACCTCCAGCAGCATCTTCATGAAACATCTTAAAAGGGAAGACTGTTGTCAGAAATGTTTTACGTGCCAATAAATACATGTGAAATCGAATACATTCACCTTAAGGATAACCATATGTTTTGATGATAGCTAGTTTAAAATAAGAGAGAAATGGTCCTCACTGCTACAGAAAAAAAAGTAACATGCTTTTTCCAACATTAATAGAGTCTGAATTTTACTCAGATAACATCAAACACGTGTCCCTATTAGTCCTAATGTAGAAACTGATTCAATTAATCTCTGATCAGTATCATTAGATAGTGGTACCTGTTCAGAATAAATTCCTTACAATGGTAAGCTTATCCCTGAGGAAACACAAACACATTGTGACCATGTAAATAAGTTTCATGGTGTATTTGGCAACAGCAGCCAACCTTGTCTTTTTTACTGGAAAAATTATTTTACTCCAAGGACCACTTTATTTTTGTTGCACTGATGCATATCAAGAGTAGCTGTACAGTCCTTCTGTATTGTTTCCCAGAGCTTATAATTCCTGTAAGTAGCTGAATATTTCCAGGTTCTAATGATGTCAGTGGAAAAGGCTCTCTTGACCACAGTGGTTTTCACATTTTACCAATAACCTCTGGAAGCATAGGTGTAGATATTCTGAATTTTTTTTTTCTCAGAAATTAGGACACAAAAAGATGCAAATTGCTGGACATAAGGAACAGTCAGAAACCATGTCTGAAAGTGATTAACACTGTCCTTTAAAATGTCCTTGAAAGAAAATGAATGGCTCTAGCATTTTTAATTGCCACCTGCTTATACTATATAATAAAGTGTGACAAAGTCCTCATCTCACTCCCACCTTTTCCTTGACACCCAGTACTCAAACAAGTCACCTCAAGAACACAGTCACAGGAACATGGTTGAAACTTAAAAGTCATCCTGAAATAAGTGCTCATTAGAGTGGGGACAGTGTCACAAAAATATGGTTGTAATGCTTCTGAGTCCTTGTTTAGCGTCTCTGCACTAGGAAGAGTTGCCAACAAAGACCAGCTCCTAGTTACTCCTCTTTGTACAGTGCTTTAATGTGCAGTGCTTTACAAGAATGTCCTTTTATCTTTTCCCAAGACCCCTTCCTAGACTTTGACTCCTGGACACTCATTTTCTTTCCTACAGGAATAAGTTTGGGGAACAGCTCAATTATTTATGAAGTGAGCAAATGAAGTAAGATATTGTTGCATTTTCTCAAGGTCATATCATGCACAAAACAAGCAAGGGTTCTAACTTTCTTCTGGTGTTTTGAATAAGAAATCCTGCAAGAAATTTTCTGCCCTTCTTAAAACAGAAAAAGATAAATTGTTTTTGCAATTTAGTGAGCTGGGCTCCCTTTATGTGTCATTACGTCAGTGATTCAAGGAACAAAGCAACCATTTGCTTGTCTGCAGCAGGGTATTTGAAATTCCTTAATGTTAGCTGCTACTTGTGTTTCCCTACATTGATTTCTCTGTTCCAGCTTCTAGTTCAGAGTATGTTGGTTAAGCCTATATAGGTCAGGAATTTGTCCTATCAGAGAGGAAATGAACAAAGTTCCCCAGGCTAAGCAGGTGTCCTGTAGAAAAGTCCTTTTTTTCAGATTTTAAATTGATATCACAAAGTCTGCTTTGACAAAGAAATATATAGATTAGAAATTATTGCCATGAAGTCTACTTGAGGCAAAAAATGTAGCAGCAGGCAGAAAAGAACTAGATTTACATATGGATTACTGATATAACCAAAGGAATATGAGAAAATATTTAATAAATAATTTTGAAAATTTAAATCCTCTGGTTTAGGAAAATAAATAATCTCTAGCTACATAGTTAGAAAAAATTCCCTCATGGGCATGTTTCTCACATCTGTCCTCATAAGAGCTTTTTGCAGGCAGCTTTTTTGCACTGGTTCCTCTTAAAGATGGCAAGCTGCACTAGCCTGGAAAAGCCTTGTCTTTTGTACATTCAAAACACATAATCTGACTGTTAAAATAATGAGTGAGAGAATTTAAATCTCAGCCCATTAGCTCTCATTTTTCATACTGGGTCTTTCCCACTATGCAGGCCACATGTAGCACCCTTCCTATCATGGCTTCTTCTTACTCATTATCTCTATTCAGGGTCTCACTGTCTGTGACTTCCCCAGCTATTAGCATGGTTCTTTCATTGTCCCAACACCTCATTTCCTCCTTGGTCTCAATACACTCTTCTCAGTTCCAGGACCAACTTCTGCAAATGCTTCAGCTACCCTCTGACCTCTCTTCTTCCAGCCACGACTATGCAATTTCAGATCTTATTTCTTAGCACAGAAAGTGATATGCAAAAGCAACCCTAATTTCAAACCCACCAATGACATGATAAAAAACCATTATCCTACTCTATTAAAAGAAAATACAAACACAGCTAGAGCATACCTAGCCATGTAGGGAACCACATTACATTCTTCTCTATAATTCTTTTTTAAAAAAGAGTTGTTGGGTAATGCAATTTACATGGATATGGATAATAGAATTAAATTTTATATGAAAGTTCATATATTAACTTTAGAATATAGGTAGTAACATGCAAAGTCAAATATATCATATGTAACAGTAATTTTCTGCTTATTATTAATTCATAAATTAAACCAAATCAAATCCCCAGAGAATCTCAACATCTCAAGTGCTTCACCTGGGTTGTAGCAGTTGAAGTAGTACTGCTCCTGGACCCCCACATCTGCTGGAACTGCACTCTAATTTCTGCAAACGTTTCAATGATGACTGCAATGAAAACATTCTGAAAAACAGAACAAGAAAGAATGGCTGACATAAAGCTCAGCAAGTAGAAAAGAGAAGAAATTAATTCTAATATGATCTACATTTCAAACTGCTTTAAAAAGACATATTTTTAAGTACCTTGACAAGCCAGGCCAGAAAGAAAATTAAGGTGATGAAATAGAAATATGAACGCCATCGGGGAAAGCTGTCGATTGCTCGGTACATGAGGAACACCCAGCCTTCCTGAGAAGCAGCTTCATAAACAGTAAATATGCTTGTGCCTGTCAGAGGGAAAAAATAAAAAGTTTGGTATTAAGCTTCCCTGAAAGTTTTCAGTATCAGCAAACAATAAACTTTTAACCATTCTATTTTCCTTTTTTTCTAAAGGGTGTCAGTTTTCCTCTCTTCATTCAAAGAGAAGTTTTTCTTCTGCATTTCCACATTTCTTCCTTTTGCAACTGAATATGAATTGGTTTTGTAACAGACCAGACTGACTCCCTTCTCTTACTGGACCCACATGCATAATCTCTCAGATGGATTCACTGGCAGTACGCAAATGTCTCCAAAGGCAGAATTTGTCCCCTCATGTGACTTCAGCAGCTTGTCTGAGAAAAGGCAGATTTAATTAAAACTCTCAGGATCAACATTCAGTAGGTGAAAGAAATCACTACTAATATCAGCAACACTGGGTAAGCATCAATATACCAAGAGGATTGCCTGATGCTAGCAAGCACAGTTAAGCACCTACAAGTAAGCTATTGAACAGTTTTGAAATTCAGGCGGGTAGCTGCATTAACACACATGTGTTGCCTTAAAAAAGCATTTTTAGGTTGAACTTCCTATATCACTCTGTGGAGGGGGAGAGAAGACAAAAGGAAAGTTATGAGAGGCTTATGTGTGCAGAAACTAGTGGTGTTCCCCAGGGATCAGTGTTGGGCCCAGTTCTACTTAATATCTTTACTAATGATTTAGATGAGGGGATTGAGTCCACCATCAGCAAATGTGCAGATGACACTAAACTGGGAGGGGGGTGTCAATTAGCTGGAAGGTAGGAGGGTTCTGCAGGGGGACCTGGACAGGCTGGAGAGTTGGGCTGATTCCAACAGGATGAGGTTCAACAAGGCCAAGTGCCGGGTCCTGCACTTTGGCCACAACAACCCCATGCAGAGCTACAGGCTGGGGACAGAGTGGCTGGAGAACAGCCAGGCAGAAAGGGACCTGGGAGTTTGGATTGACAGGAGGCTGAACATGAGCCAGCAGTGTGCCCAGGTGGCCAAGAAGGCCAATGGCATCCTGGCCTGGATTAGGAACAGTGTGGCCAACAGGACCAAGGAAGTGATTCTGCCCCTGTACTCAGCGCTAGTGAGGCCACACCTGGAGTACTGTGTCCAGTTCTGGGCCCCTCAGTTCAGGAAGGATATTGAGGTGCTGGAGCAGGTCCAGAGAAGAGCAACGAGGCTGGTGAAGGGACTTGAGCACAAGTCCTATGAGGAGAGGCTGAGGGAACTGCAGTTGTTCAGACTGGAGAGGAGGAGGCTCAGGGGAGACCTCATCACTCTCTACAACTATCTGAAAGGAGGTTGTAACCTGGTAGGGGTTGGTCTCTTCTCCCAGGCAGCTATCAGTAAGACAAGAGGGCATGGTCTTAAGCTCTGCCAGGGGAGGTTTAGGTTAGATATTAGGAAGAAATTCTTTACAGAAAGGGTAATCAGGCATTGGAATGGGCTGCCCAGGGAAGTGGTGGATTCTCTGTCCCTGGAGGTTTTTAAGATGAAACTGGATGTGGCACTTAGTGCCATGGCCTAGTAACCATGGTGGTAGTCGATCAAGAGTTGGACTTGATGATCTTGGAGGTCTCTTCCAACCCAGCTGATTCTATGATTCTATGAAACCACTTTTGATTAAAAGCTGTAAAGTTACTAATTTTAAACTCTGGGTCCAAACTCAGCATAATGTCTGTGATAATAGGCTTCAGCCAGTTTGTCCTTCCTCCTTATCTCGGCAACGAAAGCTTCAAAATACAGACCGGTTAGGGCTTGTTAGGTTTTCTCGTTTGAAGTAATTTTTTGTTCAGAGAAGAAACACAATTAAACTGTGAAATTAAACTGTGAAATCTCACAAACTGCTGTGAAATCACAGAATTGTCCTACAGCCACCCGCTTGCTCTGCTTAACTGCTGCTTCATTTCATGAAATGTCTTGGATAAAAGAGAGCGAGCGTGAGGAGCATTGCCCTTAGCAAAACATAGCAGCTGCTAGCAACATAAAGATAGAAAGCTGACCATCTGATCCTCTTCACAGAGAAAGGAGTGGTTCTGGCCAGAAATGTCAGAGTCCATGAGTTTCCCAAAAATTCACACCAGCCTATAAGGAGCCCCTATTGATTTTGCAGCATCTACATCCTAGTCTGCTAATACAAATGGGATGAACCTGGAAGCAGTTTTGCCTCAGGGTGTCCCTTTTGCAAATAAATCTTCACTGATAAGAGGAGGCAGGGATGAATGGAATTTTTTCTGTATAAACTCAATTCTTTGATATGTTGGTGTTAAATGGTTAAGATGGGCATGGTGGGTAGGCAAAACTGTTAATCCTTTCTGTTAATTTTTCTAGTTATTTGATTCCTTCCTATTTACTGCATAGGTTCTCAGTACCAAGGGAGAGAAATAAAATAAAAGGAAAGGAAAAGCATTCAAGCACAGATAGCAAATCCGTTTCCATTTCTTTGGAAGAGAGAGTGGTCTCTATCAATACTGAAATATTCATCAGTGATTACTTCATGGGTATTTTGCATTTCAAAAATTCAAAAAGTAATGGTTCAATTGTCTAATACTGTTGCTGAACTGATTAAATTATTGAACAAAACAGTGCTGTTGAGGACAGGCCGAGATTAAAGAAAAAAATGGAATCTATTAAAAGTTGCTGGCTAGGAAACTGTCATTAGTCATTACCAATGGGAAAGTCACAGTGAAGATCAGTAAAATAGAGGGGATGTCATGCAAAGTGTTTATAACACATCACTGGGCCATCTGCCATAGTAAAGCAATACTGTGAATGGACAAAAATGCACAATTAGCCCAATTAAAATAATGTGTGTTCATCTGTGATACTAAAGTAAAAACATATTTAGCGTATGACTGGTAGAAGTGTTCTTAAGGCTATTAGAAAGCAATCACTCTAATGAATATACATTCTTGCTTAACATATGTGACTAGAAAATGATAAAGCTTTCATTATTGATGCCAGGAACCATGCTGTTAACTCTCTCTGTAAATACTCTTTCAACTGGATACAGCATAAAGCATGCCACTAAGGGATTCAACACCATGAAATGTTTTGCTTTCAAAAAGAAGAGTAATTCTTAGTTAACATCTGCCTTACTGCATCTTTTGCTCTTCCAAAAGTTACAATTAAAGACAATCAGCAATCGATTCCATTTTTCTGATTATTTATTTAATATCTGACTACATCTTCCTGAAGCCAACGAGTAAGTTATTAAAAGACTTTCACAGCAACATGCTCTGTTTTTCTCAACATGTTCAAAGCCATATGGAGGGAGAGAAAGTATCAAAATTTTAAGTGATGGTGGGATACATCCCAGAAAATCAAACATGGGGATGCTGCCATGTACAAAACCTAACATATGTCCCTTATATCAAATGGCAAATTTCTCCTTTTTCACAGATGTCAGTATTCAATCAGTGACATTGTGCTGCCTTCTACTAGTTCAAAGGGTTTAAGTAATGACAGCATAGTGCTAGGAGTCCCATGGTTAGGGCAGATGAGAGCATATATCTCTCTGTAGTTTGTATAACAGCAGGAACATGGGTGTCACGGGGCACAAGGGCTTGAAAACCTGCAGAGCCTGGCTATTCAATCTGCAACAGGCTCCGTTACTTCAAAACCTCTTGTCAATGTCCTCAACAATCAGATCATGATTCATGCAATATAACTACAGACATCAGTGAGACATTTCAGTCATGAAAAGGCTTTGAATCATGAAGAGGGTTAAACACATGGTTGTTATGACACTGCTCATCAGTTTAGGCATGTTGGCATGGGCAATTTGCAGCGTTTGAGAGTAGGATTTCAACATCTGCATCTAAATATTGTTAGATCTTAGTAAAGAAAAATATCTAGCAAATAGTTATGATAACTTTCCCATTTGCTTCAGTAGATGGCTAAACCTTGGTTAATTTATCAGAATTTTCTGATGACAAAAGAGGTAAAATAAAGTAACAGGCTTTGAAATTTTTGTGTTTCAGTGCTTTTGTTTGAACTTGTCTAATAAATTCCACATTTTGATGTAACAATAAAACAATTCCTTTAATCACAAAGACAGTTAAACATAAAAAGGAAGGAAAACACTTCTCAATAGAGATTAAAACTAAGTAAATTGATATCATCACGTGTATCAATCTCAAAAGACTGCTTTTATCCAAGCAATAAACAGTTCTACCTTTGAAAATGTTTTACAACTGTAAATGGTCATTATCAAAAAGAAAAGAAAAAAAAGTTCAGGAAATGAAAGATTTAGTGAAGTACTGGAAAAGAGATTGAATCTTGATCAATTTATATGACATTTTCCCTTAGTTTCATACTGTGTAGAACAAAAGACAGCAGACAAACTGTACCTGTACTCATATTGCACATTTAGGCATATGGGCATTCAGTAACAAAATGCAGGGGGCTTAAGTCTTCTTCAGTATATGTTTTTCTCAGATTTAGAAGATGGGAGCATTAGCCTGAAGGAGCATGGATGAAGTAATTGCTTTAAAACCTAAATCATTATAATAAAAGAAAATTCTAGTAGTTTCCACATCTAATCAGGAAGCTGGTAACCTGGTTCTTCCATGCTACACAGATAAATAGAGTATCAGAAAAAAAAAATTAAAAGAACTAGAGGACATAAGTAATGATTTCCCATGGGGAGTAAAGAAACCTATCCTGACAGAAACCCTATCTTTTAAATAACTAATGGATATAAAAGGTATTTATTTTTTAAGAAAGGACTCATCGTTGACAGAACAATAGTATCATTATGCAGGGATGCTATTTTACACACTGTATTTATATTTATGCATATTTTGTAAACACACGGGATTTTCTGCTTGTTTCTGTGACTGTGTGACACCCCCATGCTCTGTGAAATCCTTTCCTTCTATAATCAACTCATTCTGCAAATGGACATAATGAAAAAGGGAGTGCACTGAATAATACTGTAGCTTTATAATGTCAGAATTAAAGGAGCAGATCTAAAAGGTCACAAGTAAAAAATTAACTGA